CTATCCATCCTCGGATGAGCAGGATTCCACATCCATTTGATTTTGGCTTTATCCAATCCAACTAGTCAGATAGTGTAATCAGTTTTTATTATTTGCGGCCCCAGCAGTAAAATTATTTGCGTCACGTATGTGTGACGTTGGTGTGGAACTCGTTAAAAAGGGAATTACTCAGGTCAAACACTAACTCATCGATGGTTGCCCCTATCGGAGTTGTTAGTTAAGGGGAAAGTATTGACACTTGTTCTTTTTTCCTTCGTCACACACATGTGACACGTATTCTTTGCCACTTTATACCACCTAGTTAGAGTAAATGCTGTCGAATGCGGATCTAGTTTGCTCTTAATTTAAGAATAAATAACTATTTTTTTCCACACAGAATTTAGTAGCTAGGGTGTTATGGATCAAGGCCATCGTGTGTACTTATGCCAGGTTGTACCTACGGCTTTTCAATTATCTTTTTCCCTCTCACCTCTATTTTATCACATATCAGAACAGAAACCGCTTGCTCCCATTCCATTTATCATGATTTTATAGATCCTGCATAAAAGTAGGCCTCACGCCTTACCTCTTTATTGTTCGGTAGATGTGTTCCCTTTGAAGTATTCGCTCAATTTTGCCTTCAACTCTCTAATTTATTATTTCCCTCATCCTTATGCACGTTAACCTTACCTTCCCATTTTTTGCGTATTCCGCATTTCCCCTGTCCAACTTGACGGGACCTTAAATATTCTTCGCTGTGGTTGAATAATTTTGATTTCACCTGTTTGCAAGGTGAGGAATTTCCCCCTCTTCCATTGTGGTGTTGTGGTCCATGGACTTCCCTCCTAATTTGTCAACACCTTTTTCCCTTCAAAGTCGGTAACAAAATTTAACAGCCATTTTTTTGATTGGATCTCCTTGGTGGGCTTTCTTGTTGCCTTCCAGCGTTTCTTATCGATAATATCTATGGTTTCTCTCTCATTCTTTGTGGACAGGGTTTCCGGTGAGTTTTGAGTCCGTAGAGCTGATGCTGGGGATGTTCAAATCCAGCCGGGACATGTGGCTGATCTGCCGCTACGACATGAGAGGAAGCCTGTGGCGATTTCAAAGCCCGTATACTTTACCTTAAGGTAGACTAGAGGATTGATGATCATATGTTGTCGATTTGAAAAGAAGAAGAAGAAGCTCCGGTTACCACGGAAATGCAATTCTCTGTCTTTTACGTACCAAATGTGAAACAGGAGGTGTTCACATGGTCTCCCACTCCTACCCCAGCTTTCCACGAACACCTGGCCTGAAAAAAAAGCACCTTCTATAAAGAAGCATTTGCTGGTGAATCTGAACCCATCCTAGGTCAGACCTGTGGAAGGTCATCCCATAGTGTGTGTGCTCCGGCTTCTTGAAACGGCAAATATTCGTGTTAGTGTTAGTGAATGCTGACAGTGTGTTCACTGTTCCTTCCGCGAAAAGATTTGCCTTTTCGTGCTGTCCCATGCAACGGTCCAAATGACCTTCGAGGTCGTGAATTGGGTATCACCGGGTTTGGAATTATCGCCTTCAGTTGTGCCCACCACTTCGCTTTAAAGTCTTCCGAAAATGGGAGCAGATATTCGCCGATTCAGGCTAAATGCTTTTGGCTATCCGGACTGGACAGGTCTGACTAATATAATCTACCCTCTTAACATTTACCATTTACCATTTACCTCTTACCATTTACTACTGGATATCGGAATCGAAAAGTCACCGATTGACCTGAACGTTTCGGCGAAACTCTATCCCCACACTAAGGTGGTGGTCCTCCTACTAGAGCAGGCGTTTAGCCCGTTGCTATGTGCATTTCAGTATTATCTCCACCTTCTTTTCAGGCAGAAAAAGGAATCCTAATTGGGAGGCCGTAATTTTTGTCCTTTTTTCCCCTTCTAGTCAGGAGGAGGCTCAGAAGATAGATGAGGAACTCTTCACCGAATACGCCTTTTCAGTTGATCAACTTATGGAGCTTGCGGGTTTCAGTTGTGCTGTCGCTATTTATAACGTGAGTTTCATCCCCCTCTGTCTCCTCCTCCCTCCCTTTCCTTTCCCTCCCTCGTTCAAGTCAAAGGGGGAATCACGAGGAGTCCAGGTGGTACTTACTTCTTTCATATGGTCTCCAAGCTCTACACTTCCAATTAATGCCTAGTCAAGAAAGCACTACAAAAAGATTTGTCCATTCCTTGAAACTACACCGGCGGACGTACGTTCATGCGCGAAGCATGCCTTTGACGGGAGGCGGTGTAGGCCATTGCCACGTGCTTAATGGTGTGTGGACTCGACCTGCGACGCATGGGTCAGCTATCAATAATAAAACTGCGGCATTTTTGTCACTTACTTTATATGTAGTTTTGCCAGGGTAACATCTGTACCGTATCGCTGTGGGAATCCTTGAAGTCCCAGTTTGACTTGAACGTTTGCTTATGTATTAAATGAGGTCTTCTACTTCTTTAAAAATTCTTTTTTCTTGTACTCACAGGCCTATCCTCGCTCTTCAATGAAGAACTCAGACGGTGGAGTTTTAATCTGCTGCGGTCCTGGAAATAACGGCGGTGATGGATTGGTCTGCGCTCGCCATCTCAAACTCTTTGTAAGTTCTACTTCGGCTTTTCTACTCCACCTTGAAAAGAATAATTATTATGAAGGTTTAGCGTTCTCCTCCATTTTTTTTTCCTTTCTGTTGAAAAAGAGAGGAAAAAGGTCTTCTCATGGTGTTCTGCTAATTCTTGAAGACTGCTCCTCAAGCCACACAGTAGGGTAGTGAAATCCGAAGCCTTCTATTTAACTGTTGTTGTTTTTGTTATTGTTGTTTTAACCTGCTGGTGCTACCAAAATCCCAGCCCAAACAACGAAAGCCTCAATTCGGACGTTTGGAGATGTGGTGGTTGGTCACATGCTTGCTGCCTGGCTGGCTGGCGTCTCGACTGGTCATCATTTTGAATGGCCTTGACCTCACGTGTTTGTTTTCGCAATGAGAGAGTAAATAGTAGAAGTTCTTTGAAGGAGAACCTCTACAACGCATTGCTGTCAAAAATCAGCCATCCCACCTGATGGCAAGCCGTTTTGTGTGGCTTTCGGTATAACTCATTGTTATAACCCGCGTGTGATCGTCCATAGAGAGGTTGTCCTTCGCCCTTTTGGTGGAGATGTGATTCCACTCTGTCTGCTTGACGCACCAACGAGTTTAGCCCTTTTCCAAGATTGCAGAGGCATTTTAGCGAAGGAGATGTGTGCAGTACGCGTTGCCCCTTAATCAAGCAGTTGACAAAATTTGCTCCTGGTGACGAATCACCAAAAAAAAGGAGATGAATTGAGGATTTTCGTGTCAAGAACAGCCGTCAACGGCGAAACAAGCGGTTGACAGCTGCATCAACCGAAGGCAGGGAGTTGTGATGGCGGGTAAGACGCCAAGCAGGTGAGTGCTACATCCCACTCAGTAACGGACGGCTGGTAACACTCTTCACTCTATCACTGTAAAAGTCCACCACCGTCCAATTATTTGCTGACCAGGAAGGCAAATCCATCCTTGTTGCTTATCTTCAAACGATTCACCCCTTGGACATCGCACACCTCTGAGGCGGGCGGACTGTAGACGCAGTCGTTCTGCCCACATTTTTTGCTGAAAGCAAAGCAACCGCAACCGAGGTCTTCGCACTTGCTGTGATTCGTCTCGAGGGTTTGTAGGCGATATTTTTTTTTATTCGACAGTCAGTCAGACCGTAGATAGTCATTCAATACGAGGGAGATAGAAACGGAGGTGGCTATGGCGGAGTTTTTGTGGTTAAAGAGACGAAAAGTTATGCAAAGGGCGAATTCTCAAGGGTGTAGAGGAGAATGCGGACTGAATGGATGCAGAAGAAAGAGCACCTGTTTGCCAGATTAATTGTTTGGGGACGAAAAGATATTAACTGATGCCAAATAGCATCGACCGGGGGTGAGAGTGTGGAGAAGCAAACGCGCCAACACACTTTTGTCCCCAATTCACTTCTACCAACGGTGCATGATTTGTTGTAGGGCGCGCTTTTGAGGCAAAATGAAAGGCATTAAAGGTGGGGAAAATAAAAGCTAGACCTAGACAGGGACAATCGCATGACGGAAATGTGCGACGCCGGAAGAAAACATGTCATTAAAAAAAGTTGTGAACAATTTTTGTTTTCAACTGACTACTCAGATAGGGGCAACCATCGATGAGTTAGTGTTTGACCTGAGCAATTACCTTTTAACGAGTTCCCCACCAACGTCACATATATGTGACGTGAATTATTTTACTGCTGGGGCCGCAAATAATAAAAACTGGTTACACCATCTGACTAGGTGGATTGGATAAAGCCAAAATCAAATGGATGTGGAATCCTGCTCATCCGAGGATGGATGG